GGAAAAAAAAAAAAAAAAAAAAAAAAAAAAAAAAAAAAAAAAAGCAATCACAACTGCCGGATCTGACGAAAATCACAGAAAGTGGAGAGCGCCAAGCCCCACAGGGATGCTACCCACCACCTGCTCTCCTCAGTGTGACAGGGCTTGGGTGACACACAAGTGCCTGAGGCTCTCAACAGACAGAACTCCCGACTGCAGAGGCCGTGCTGAGCCCTACCCGTTGCCTTGACGAGCCAGGTGGTAGACGATGGTGGCTGAGGTCACAGTCTTCCCCGTGCCTGGCGGGCCCTGGATCAGGCTCAGTGGTCTCTGCAGCACAGTCTTCACGGCGTAAACCTTCAGATACAAGTGGCTGTTAGGGCTGGCGGAACCTCCCCACGCCCTCCCGCAGGCCATGCAGGTGAGGCCCCAGTTCCTGGCAAGGATGAGAACCTGAGAGTGGTTAAGGTCGGGCAGCCCTTGGGCTGTGAAGCGCTTTGGCAGCTGGCACTTGATGATGACGTCCTCTACCTCATGGCCAAGCAATTTGTGGTAGATGTAGCCAGACACAGAGGTCTCATCCACAGCGAATGTTTTCAATGCGCTCTGCATCCTGTAAGGAGAGCATGGTCAGCCACATGCAGAGCTGGTGCCCTGGGTTCGGCTAGCTGCGAACACCCACTCTGCTGCAACGGAGCAGGCAGAGACCCCAAGGACAGAGGGTGAGCGCCAACCCAGAGGCAGAGGGCAGACGCACCTGTCAAAGGAGGTCGACTTCCACACGAAATCCACCTGGAAGTTGTGAGTCACCTCCACAGGTGCACCCACACTGCTCCGCAGCTCAATGGCAATCTCATCGCCATAATCTGCGCCGCCGAGTTAAGTCCGCATCCTCATCAGAAGCCATGTTCACCCTTCCAAGGAGCCCTGGGTACGTGGTCTTTAAACAGCACTCATCCCATTTCTTAAGAGACCCCTCCTCTGCACTAAACGCGGATGCTAAAAACTTGCAGGACCAACGCATGACCAGAGACCAGCGTCCTCAGCAGATTCTGCCTTCACGACAAACCCACGCCCTGGCTCCCTGGTCAGCCCCCGCATTCCTCTGCTGTGGATTGTGAGCGGCCACAAATGTACCAGAGGACATGCAGCTGGGAGTGCCCTGCTGTGGCCAGCAGTTGTTCTTAACAGTTCTATACAACCCATGCACCCCAAGTAAAACTGAACAAAGGGCTCGGAGGCCTTCAACAAGCACCACTCAAAGAGGCAGCCCTGTCCTGGGTGCATCCTCAGCCTAGCAGGAGGCACAGCTCCTCACCCAGAACATGTGCACATGGAGAAAGGGAGCCAGCTCCCACCACGGGTACAAACAGTACACCACTTGGGCACAAGAGAAGTAACTGTACAACCACCTTTCCCTGCCAAGATTAAGAGCCTGGGGTTTTCTTGAGAGCAGTGAAGGGCCGTGTCACCAGCACCCACCATAAAAGCAGGAGATTCTGGCCCAGCTGCTGCCATGAGGGGAACTGAAGGCCTGTCCTTCCTCTGCGACCAGGCTGGCCCCACCCTCCACACACGAAGGATACTGTCGGGGACCTTGATGACGTGGCCGATCCCTTTCCACAGGGGCGCCAGGTCCCCTTTGTAGCGCAGGCAGATCTCATCCCCCTGCATCAGCCGCATGTCTTCCCGTGGAAAAGACCGCAAGAGAGTTAGCGTTTCAACACGTCATGGCTCCCGCCACGAAGAGTTCAATTCAAGGGACACTTTACAGGGTGGCACTAGGAATTTTATGCTACTACGGTCACAAATATTTTAAAACTTAAAATCACCTCTTAACCAAATTATGACTAAATCCTCATTACCAGAGTCAGTCTTGGGCAAAGTGAAGTAGGCGATTCTCTTCTTGTTAAGGCCCAGGTCCCACCTGACCGTGATGTTATCTTGAGTCTGAGCACATGAAAAATAAGAGCCCTGGTTAGCCTTTAACACAGACCCGGGCCTGGACACCACACGTGTGGGTCCCACAAGGCACGTGCCCGGCTGGGAGCCTGCGAAGGCTGCGCTATGACACTGGGGTGCAGCGAGCAGCACCCGACAGCCTCCGATTCCAACAAGGACACATCTGGGAGAGAAGCAAGCAGGAGCCCCAAAAGCCCCACAAGATGATTCCAACTGGAGACATCACAGCAAACGACAGGCGGCTTCTCTGTGGGCCACGGGGGCGAGCATGACTGTAGGAGGGAGAGAAGGGGATGGACGGCTGCAGGCCTCCTGCTTCCTGGACACACTCTTCATGGGTGCTGGCATAAGGTCTAACTCTTGTAGCTGTGGGCAAAGCTGTGAACCTGACCACGAGGGAATTTTATTGGACTTAAAACCAGAAAACACCAGGCCTATGTTTGCTCATATTGACCAGGGCACGGGCCTACAGATCACTCCCACGTCCAACCCCCATCAGCTTCTGCAGCCTGAAGAGAAAACGGTCCCCCCAAACCTTAGTAGAGATGCTCTGTTAAGCCCCAGACCACCGCAAAGCCTCCTGCTCACACCACATCACCTGTGACTCTTTCAGTTTCTTATCGTAGTCAGCCTCCAGCTTGACCAGGGGGCCGAATATGTTCTGGTACTGGTAGGCATCTTCGTACCGCAGGAGCACGTGCTGCGGCTCCTCATCCACCCCCGGCTTCTCCAGATCCTCCAAGGTGGCAGAGGGATTTTCCTAGAAGACAAGAAAACCAGCATCATGCTCAAACCTGTTTTAACCTACATGCAAATGAACAGTGGCTTAGAAGGCCCGAGTCACAAGCACACACACCACTTCCCGGAATAAGCCAATGGCTTTATGAAGAAGGGCGCCTGGTGCCGCTCCAGGTGGTCAGTAGTGCCCACCCCACGAGGAGAAGCCTGGTGACAGGAACTGCACGCTACACAGGGGCTGGACGACAGCCTGAGCCACGCCTGCACACCTCAGCAGCTGCTCCTGTCCCTGACAGAGTTCCAGCAGCCAGATCGAACTGGTACAAAGCCCTAGTACACAGCCTGACACACAGATCCACAACACAGGGAACCCACAGACCTGGCTGCCTTCTCTGAGAACGCCTGGCCCGTGAAGGAGAGCAGCCAACCCTTCTTCCCAGCTGCCAGAAACCACAGTTTTGCACTCCTGTGTCAACGGCAGGGGAGGCCCAGCTGCCACATTCTGCTGACCCTGAGCTGGACCAACAGGAGTCACACTGCTCTTCCCCTGGCGCTCATGCCCCTTAGTGAGCTCTGCACTGGGGGACAGAACAGCACCTGAGCTGCTCACCGTGGAAACTTACCCAGCTAGACAATGTTTGAAAAATATTTTGACTTGCACTTGAAGTGAAATAAATTCCTATTAGATATTTCTGATTGAACAGGTGCTGCATTCAAATTTCTCATCTAGTTATTAGAACTTTATCACAAAATCCTAAACAGCCAGGACCAAAGAGGGGCTTCCATGGAGAAGGAGTGGGGGTACCTGTGGGTCTGTGGATGGGAGCAGGAACCCCACTACCCAACCCGGAGCGCTCTCCCCTACAACACTAACCCCCGCCCTCACATGCACTCAGGTCCTGCCTGTCTGCTCAGGCTGGTCCTCCTCCCTCCACAGCGTACCCCCACCCTGGCAAGAAAAGAAAAACCCCAACAACCAGAGCTGTCCTCTCCCAAAGGCCAGGTTCTTCTAGGTCAGGTATGGTCAGGTAATGCTGCTTACAAGGGAGGCCCTACCTTCCCTAAACACTCCAAGCTGCCTGCCAGGAACACGAGGGAGCTGAGGGAACTGGCTTCGGAGCCGCCCCTGAAGCCACTGTAGGTAGAGGCTGCAGAGGCTAACCTTGGCATTCCTTCCAGAATCTCCCAAGTCCCACTTGGTTGTGCAGACACTCCCCTGCTCTTCTGCTAGGGGCGGATCTGCCCCCTGAGCAGCCCCTCACCTTCCAGAGTTCCTCCAGCTTGTTGATCTGCTGAGCAGTGATCTGCCGTGCTCTCAGCTGCTCCTGCTCAGAGGGGATCTTCACCAGCCAGGACAGGAAGCAGCGATCCTGGATCAGGGGCTGCCACTGCGAGCTGTCCCAGTTGATGTCTTTGAGGCTGCTCTGGCTGGCACAGGGCTGCCTGCAGAACCCAGAGGGCAGGGAGAACCCACCATGAGCACAAACCCCAGCCCGAAGTTTGACCTCGCACCCAAAGAGGCCATCCGTGGGCCGGCCCGGTGGCGCACTGGATAGTGCGCCGCTTGGGAAGCGCGGCGGCGCTCCCGTCCGAGGGTTCGGATCCCACATACAGACCGGCTCCCGCTCGCTGGCTGAGCGAGGCGCGGGAGCAACGCCGAGGCTTGCGATCCCGTTGCCGGTCCCCGGTCCGGTGCGGGGG